ACTCGGTACACTAAACTACTTCAAGGCATTGAAAAATGAAGGCGCATACTTACAAGATTTCCTGTGAGGAATTATTTTACTACAGCATTGTTTTTAAACTGAATTATAAACATGCTTTTTCAACTGTGAAATTTAAACTGATGTGCCTTAATTAACAGATTGTCAGTCCCAAAGAGATTATGAGATCTTAAATTGTATTTAGGAATGTGTTTTGTATTTTAGCCGGCATTTAAAAGAAAAAGTATATCAATTGTAATCTAAATGAAGCAATTACTCTATACTGTTCAAAAGTTTGGGGTTGGTAAGAATGTTTTTTAAAGTCTCTAATGATCAACAAACTGCATTAATTTGAATTACTTTACAATTTAAAGTAACTGTTTTTTTGCTGTGACGGCAAAGCTGAATTTAAGCAGCCATTACTCCAGTCTTCAATGTCACATGATCCTTCAGAAATCGTTTTAATATGCTGATTTGGTGCTCAAGAACCATTTTTTTTATTATCAATGCTGAAAACAGTGCTGCTGAATATTTTTGTGGAAACGGACACTTTTTGCAGGATTCTTTGATGAAATTTTCTGTAACAATATAAACATCTTTTCTGTCAGTTTTGATTAATGTATCTTGCTTAATATAAATATAATTTTCTTTAAAAAAAACTTACTGACCCCAGACTTTTTGTTGATGTGTAAATCAAAGCAGTGTTCATGCAGCTGCAAATGCAGTCAGATTTTCAGAATAATTTTGTTTACATATGACAACTTTTTTTTTTACCCCCAAGAAAAGGGGCCGTTATCTGGGGACCATACTGGGGAAAGCATACTAGGGAAAATATTTATTTTAAAGACAACAATGAATAACACTGTTTTATTAAAGCTTTAACAGCGAATGCAATGTCATCTGGATATCTGGACATCTTATCTCTTTTAATTAAATCTTTTTACTGTGATTACATAATTGTGACCACGTGGCTGCTTTTAGATGTTCACAGTGTGTGACTAGTGTGACTATATTACAGCTTGCTTTCTGTTCTCTGAAACAAGGGCAAAAGTTACATTTAACAGATGGATGGCGTAACTGGAGTTATGCTGCGCGCATCCACAGAAATATTGACCCTCTACTGCCATCTGGTGGTCGGTCACCAGTGTACAGAAACCACATAGCACCATGGGGAAAAATAGCTGATTATGCAAATATAACTTCAGCTAACAGTTACAGTACATAAGCAAACTGTTTTGTGGAACTTTTCATTCCCGTATGAAGCAAAAAGCCGTTTATAATCGGTTTATATGAGGTCGTGGCCCGGACGTAGGCATAATGCGCCCTAGAACATAGTCCTAAAATCTGTTACGGGTGAATAACTCCTAAGATGATGGATGGATGGATTTAGGGAGCAGGGCTGTGACTCTGCTCCACTAGACCCTAGGCATTCCCAAATGGATTTAGGGGATTCCCAATTAGACTTAGTGCGGATGAGAGCATTAGATCCAATATGTTCTAGGTAACCCTATTTAAATCTGCTAACTGCAGTGTTGCAGTGCTGTGCAATTCTGAAAAGGTTACAGTGAGTATGTACAGGATGTGTGGCATGGATTTTCCCGGGGAACAAGCATCTATAAAATAAGCCACTTGAGGCACGGAGACCTACTTTGAGTTAAGGACAGGACATACTCACCCATTTCCCTAAATCTTGCCATGTGTTAATACAGTGTTTCCCAACCCTTGTCCCCCCAACATATTTTGGAAGTCTTCCTTCCCTATTTTAAGTCATAAATTACTAACAAGTTGAATCGGGTGTGTTTAATTAAGGAGACTGTGTAGATACAGCCTAGGTGTTCTAGAAAAAAAAAGATTGTGAACAAAGGGTTTTTAGCATCTTACTGAATGCTGAATGGGTTTAAAGACCCCAATAAATTGTATATCACTTATTTCATGTTGAAACTGCCACATCTTTATATCAGTGTTATTTTAGTATTATACGTTTATAATCTCTATTACTAATTTAATCAGCTTTTATTTTTTTATAGATTTCTTTAAATATTACTGTTTAGGTTTAATTTATTTTCATTAAAGTTTGTATTTATTTCCAGTTAGTAATTTTTTGTTTTAACTTAAACTTATTTCAGTTCAGTGCCAGCTCAACATTTTTAATTTTTGTTTAAAGTTTTTCATCTAATATTTATATTCATATTTTATTTTATTTAAGCTTTATTTCCATTAAAAGTCATTTTAATAATTTACTTTTAACGATAAAAATTCCGTTAATGTGCTAAAGCTGAATTTTGTCAGCATTTAGGCATGCACTAATACATGACATTAATACTAACACACACAGACAAAACTGTGATTTTAATTTCATTTAACATGTCAAATTACCCTTTTAATTCCTTTACTCTTTAAAGGGCTCAGATTTTGCTTAGCTTTTTCATAATACACTCTTAAAAATAAAGGTGCTTCACGATCCCATAGAAGAAACGTTTTGTCTGAAAGGTTCTTTGTGGCGAAAGAAGGTTCTTCAGATTATAAAAAGGATATGTTTTTTTTCTCTCTGGGTAAACGTGCCGGATTTACGTTCTTTTTTCCTCCGTGGGAAGCCATGATGGCAGTTTGAGAGCGGAGCTGCGGAGCGCCCTGAGGAGAGATGAGTCCCGCCGATAAACCGCACACCGTCACGCTTCTCCAAAGGCTACCGTCGCATATCTAACACAGTTCAGGTGGAGACTGTCAGTTGTCATTTTTCACGGAACCAACTTGGCCATCCAGCGACGACGATGATCATTCGTTAGGAGGGTTTTGAGGGGGGGTTTAGCAGCGGTGGCTAGCGGGCGATGCTAGTCGGGAAAGGCTCGCCTGTGTGTTTTCTTCTTCGCGCGGAGATGGAGAGGATTCGCTCCTCTCTCTGGACCTGATCACGGCGCGCGCGCCGGACACACAGACTTCTGCCATACTATTGTTGTTGTTATATCGGATGCGTTCCGGTTTGACCGGGCCGCGGGATCGGAGGACATTTTCAGCAGCTCGGAGGACTGAGCGATCGGGACCGGGAGAGTCGGGCCTGCTGGGCCGATACGGATAGAGGCCCGTCTGCGAGAAGCTGTAATCCGGCCCGCTGCGCGAGACCCACCGGGCCACACACACACACACACACACACACACACACACACACACACACACAC